GCACTTTGCATCATCAGCTGCTGCCTGAAAGGCTCTCCCCCCGCTCAGGGCGGGGAAGCCTGCAGCTGATGAAACTCTCTGCAAAGTGTCTTTCCAAACCCTACCCAGTGCTGCCTCGACGTGGCACGTTCCGCCCCCTGCCCCAAGAGCCGAGCTCACGTTATTGGCAGCAGCACTTTTGGCAGAAGGGGTGGGCTCCAGGCAGTTAGTGGTGCGGTGTGGAGCTGAGGGCAGGCCCATCTCTCACCCTGGAGCTGGTCTTGCCCTCTCAGTGCCCGCTTGTCCCCTCCACGGTATCTGCTTTGTGGGCTCAGTTGTCAGTTGTGGAGGGCTGGGGCAGATGTGAACTGTGGCCCCGAGAGCTGACCAAGCCCTTGGGCAGAGCACGATCAAACAGATACCTGTCATCAGGCCTGGGAAGGAGGAAAAATGGGGTTATACATGCTGTGATGGAGGAAAGCTTTCAGAGCACTGGGTGCCTCTGGCACGTTTCCCATCCATTCTGTGAGGGCTCAAGCAGCAGGGTGTTTATGTGGCAACAGCAGGTATCAGGACATGGTGCTGAGGGTTCAAAAAGCCCAACAAAAAGTACACCCGTGCAGCCCCAGCTTCCTCAGACCTCCCTTGACAATAGCAGACGGTCTTGGGCACTCTGGAGCTGGTGAGAAGCACCACACACTGGACTGCGACACAGAGGGAATTGCCAAACCGTCTGCACCAAAAAATCCTGAGGAGGAGGGAATAAAACCCAGTGTCTTCCAGGTGGAAAGCAGAGGAGCAAGCGCAGGGCTAAGCTACTATATATAAGTTGTATAACTTATAGCAGGGCAAGGCCTGCAACTGCAGCCAGAGGAGCACCACCTCCAGTAAAGGGTTCATACGCAGTGACTGGATGGGGATTCAAGCCTAGGCCGGGCTGGAGATGCCCTGGGATAAACTGCTGTGCTTGCAGTGCCTGCTTTTGCTGTAGGAACAGAATTACTGAGCAGTGATGCTACAGAAATGCCCGTGGTGGGAGGCGTAGGTGGGAGTACAACGCAGCTTCTGGTGGCACCAGGCAGGCAGAGGCAAGCCAGCTGCCACCAGCTGAACTGCGCCTGTCCAGCGTCATCCGCAACTCACGAGTTCCAGTTCCTCTTAGACTGGGGTCGAGATAATTTATTAGACTTTTCTGCATTAAAACCTGACAGGGTGGATAAAAATTTTGAACTGTATTTAAAAACACTGAGTCTTTAAAAAACACTGAGTCCTTAAAAACACTGATTATCTAAAAAACTCCCAGGGTGGCTGGGAGTTACGGAGGTAAGCGCTTAAAGAAAAAATCTAAAGTTCTTGTCACCCCTTCTCTGGGTCGTTTTGCACTAGATCCTGCTGGAGTCTTGGGCTTGTTCTTTGCCCTGGAAGGAGACCTGGAAGCTGCAGCCTTTGGGCTGGGAGCTGCTGCTGGAGCCGTGGGAGCGCTGGGCTCCAGGAAGGAGCTCTGCAGCTCCAGAGCGAAGTGGTAGTCCATGTGCTCAGGGAACTCCCACACCAGCACGAGCTGGCCGCACTTCTCGCAGTGCTGCTGGTCCCCTGGCGAGGCAGGAGGGAGCGGGGCGAGCTCGGGAGAGGGTGGCAAGTTCTGCTCGTTTCCCTCCGTCGCTGGCTTGAATTTCGGAAGGGTCCTGGCGCTGGGTGGAGTCGAGGGTGGCTGCGTGGCGTCAGACAGCGCCTTCTCACCAGGAAGCCTCTTGTAAGGAGAAGTTGGGCTCCCGTCCCTGGGACTGCGCTTCACGGGGGACTCCAGGTGACGCTGCGGAGAGGCAAGTCCACCGCCACCTTCCTCGCGGTGCTCCGGGGAGCTGGGCACAGGCGGCTCTGCAGCGGGCTGGCCAGTTGCTGCTGCCACCTGTGACTGCTGCCTCTCTGCCGCCTTTTGGAAGAAGGACTCGATGGCATGAGCTGGCTTCTGCCTGAGCTCTTTGCTTGGGCTCCTGAAGAACTTGACCCTGGGCCTCCCAGAAGATGGGGTGTTTTGGCTGGTGGTGGCAGTGCCATCAGGCTGGGTATCGCTCGTCAGGAAGGTGGCGATGCCCGCAGAGAGGAGCGTGGCAGGCTCTGAGAACTTGTTGGCCGAGAGAAGCACTGATATGAGAGGTGGAGACCTGCAAAGGACAGACCAACGTCAGCTCAGACACCAGCCTGGGCAGCAAGAAGTCTGGAGGTAAGACTTTAAGCAACATAAAATGTTCACAGGCAGGGGACAGGGCAACTGCACTCCGGGTACCTGGCAAGGGCTGGGAGAGATGTTTCCTCTGCCAAAACGGGAGCATTGCTACCTCCAGAGCAGTCTCACAGACGTAGCAGGCTGCGCTGGGCGGAGCAGAAAAAACCTTTTCCCAGAAAAGCATTTCCCAAAGTGGAGCAGGGGCACCCGGCTGCCAGCCTGGACTTTCAGTCCACCACAGGCCAGAGCTGCTGCGGGACAACCACGGGAGGCAAGAGGGCCTTAAGGGAGCAGCAGCCTTGTGGGAGCCCAGCGGAGAGGACCTTCGTGCCTTCACTACGCCCCAGCCTCCATCGCAGAGCGGGAGGGAGGGAGGGAGGGAGGGAGGAGGTAATGGTGAACGCAGGAGCTGTGCACCTCAGTTTTCCTTCCTGCCCCAACAAGCCTCCTCCCAAGAAGCACCTCTGTCCTTCGGGGAGAAGAGCAAGAACTGAGAAGAACTGCCTCGCTCCAGCAGCAATCATCAGCTCCAAGCGCAGAGGTGCCTCACCAGAGGTGGGGCCGGGAAGAGGCCAGGCTCTCGCAGCTCTCCTCCCCCTAACAAGCCGGTGTCGCCGCACTCTGCTCTGCCTGTGCTGGGGATCACCCGTCCGGCCAGTCGGCATAACACCCCCGTTCCTTTCTGTCGGGTCCCTGGCTCATCCTGCCCCTCCCGCAGCAGAACCACCCCTGACGGGGCCGGGAACCACCTCCTCGCTCACTCACCAGGCCGCCTGCTGAGCCCCAGCCACGTTGCAGCTTTGGATGAGGGCAAAGGCATCGCTGCACATCTTCTGGGCGTCGTAGCGGGACAGAGCGCAAAAGCGCGACACCCGGGTGTCCCCCTGCATGCGGATGACCACCATCAGCTGCTTGGCCACCCGGTGGTTCTGCGAAGAGAAGAGGTCGCTGTGCTTCAAGCGACACCTGCAGGAGAGGGCAGGGAAGGCCGAGGAGACCGTCCCGCTGCCCAGAACCCTCTGCTGACCAGCTGCCACCTCCCGACGATGCTGCGTGACAGGCGGCAGCTTGTCCTGCCCTGCGAGGGATGAGGTACAGGGCAGCAGGTGCTTGTGCAGCTGGGCCACACGGGATGGGAAGCGGCGAGTCCTCGCTTTTCCGCCAAAGGCCGCCGTGCAGCTTTCCTCCGCCCCGCTGCAGCCAGCAGGGCAGCCTCACCCTGGCCTGCGGGCTGCCAGCCGGCCCCCAGCGCGGCGGGTGGCCT